CGAGGAGCGGCGCGATGAGCGCGTCCGTGGCCGTCTTCCTGCGCACTGGCTTGGGCTTGTCGGCCTTGCTGTTCTCCACGCGCATGATGGCCAGCGGCTCCTTGAAGGGCTGCGGCAGCGGGTTGCTGGAGGGGATCCACTTCATCTTCTTGCGTGGCCGCTTGACCACGGGCGGCTCGGCAGCGCCGTCGGGCTCGGCGGGGTTGGCGCTGGGGTCCACCGTCTGCACGCCCGAGTCGCGCACGGTGGGCGTGGTGTCGTGGTTGGACTGCGCCAAGGCGGCCAGCAGCTGCCGCACCACGTTGTCGTACATGAGGTCGCTCTCATTGGTGATGAAGTCCAGCCGGTTAAGCGACTTGATGTGGTCGCGGTTCTCGTTGCAGAACATGGCGAGGATGTTGATGTCGCAGAACTGCGAGCGGCGCCACTGGCGGCGCGTCTTGATGCCCACCTTGTGCAGCTTGTCGAAGATGAAGTTGCTTTTGCGGAAGATGAAGAGGTGGATGAGGTTGACCAGGATGATGAGGTTCATGAAGCACAGGAGGACAATGTCCACGCCCGCGATGATGCGCTGCAGCTGCACCGAGGGCAGCTTGCAGCTGACACGCACGGCCGGCCCGGGGCCCGCGCCCCCCGGCGGCCCGTCGGGCGAGGCGCCCAGCGCGCACGTGAACTCGTTCTGCTTTTGCGTGGCATAGTAGGTGCACAGGTAGGAGATGGGCACGGCGCTGAGCAGCAGGATGAGCACGTGCCGCGCCAGGTAGAGCTTGGCCAGGAAGTTGCTGCGCCCGCGCCGCTCCAGGTACTTCTCGAAGAGGTTCTGCTCGGGGCTCTTGTCCTTCTCGGCGTTCTCGATGATCTCGCGCTTCTCGCGCTCCGTGATGCCCGGGCCCTTGGACTGGATCTGCTTCTCGATCTTGGGCGCCCGGCCCTCGGCTGCGCGGTGGTAGCAGTTGTCGATCTCCTGAAGCAAGAAGTTGAGCTCGGACGTCAGGCGCGTCGACGCCAGGAACTCCCAGCCCAGCGCGGGCACGTACATGATGGCGGCGAAGGCCAGCAGCGCGTAGGGCAGGAACTTGTGCTCGAAGAGCGAGGGCCACAGGCTGGCGTCCACGCCGGGCAGCGCGTCCCGCAGCTCCGTCCAGCAGTAGCCGCGGGCGTACAGCGCCTGGTCGCGGGTGAAGTTGTGCGGGGTGTAACAGTAAATGGGTTCCTCTGGGGGCAGAGAGGAGACACGGGTGGGGGCTGGGGAGGGGGTTCAAAGAGGAGACACGGGTGGGGGCGGGTGTGTATGGGTGGTCCGGAGGCAGGGCCAGGAAGGGGCTGGGAGATGCTGGGGGCAGGTCCAGTGGAAGGGCTGAGGTGGACTTGGAGGAGCTGGGGCTGGGCGGGGACAGCCCAGGGAGTTAGTGGAGGGTGGGCCCATGGAGGAGGTGGGGTCCAGGGGGGCGGGATAGGTCTTGGAACATACTGAGCCGGGTGCTGGAGGCAGGCCCAAGAGTGAGGCTGGGATTTGGGGCGGGGTTGCGGAGGGGGAGTGGCCGGAGAGCACTGTGAAGCCTCATCCGCTTTCCTGCACAGACCCCTCCCCAAGCGCACCTGCTCCTTCCAGCGGCCCCCATGAGCCCTGCGCAGAACCCCTATAGCCCTGGTTCCACACACTGCGGTGTGAAAGCTCACCCAGCAGCAAAGCTGGGGTGCAGTGAGGGTTAGAAGCTGCCACGCCCATTCCGGGACCCAGTGCTAGGGGGCAGTCCCACCACTGGTTGAGCACGTACCATCACCCCGCCCTGCTTGGGCTACTTTCTCCAAGTGTCCCTATCAGACCCCTAGCGAGACCTGACCGAGGAAGGCACACCAACCTTGAAGGGTCCTAGTCTCTGACCAGGTTCTAGGAAAACGTCCTATTTTAACTTCCTGACACACATAGCCCTCCCTGGTGCGGCCCTGCCCCCAGTACATCATGCTCCACGGCCCCCAGCTGAGAACCCCTTCAATGCCCCAGAAGCCTAGGGTAGGGTCTGCTCAGGCGCCCGCCTCCTCCCCCCTCAGCTCATTGCCCGTGGGACATGAGGCCTGTGGGTACCAAAGTGCCACTCCCCATCTGTCCCTCGCCCCCAATGCCTGCAGCCTGCAGAAAGCATAGATCCAACGGCACTTGTCCCATGTGGCAGACAGCATCATTGTGGATCCCACTCTGACCCCCCCACCGGCGGCTCCGCCCCGGCCCCAGCACAGTGTCAAACCCACCCACCCCTTGTGTCCCCCACCCGTCACTAGGACCTAGGGTGAAGTTCCAGGCTGCCATCACTACCCCCAGGCAGCTGAAGGGCTGTACAGGGTTGGACTCAGAGGCTGCCTGGCAGGAAGAGGCTGAAGGCAGGTCACATCACTTTGTGGTAGTACGGGAACCTGTTGATGTGGATGGGACTTGTTCAGTGCAGGTGGTGGTGGTGCAGAGACTAGGGCAGGCCAGGCCTGGGGCAGGGTGAGAGGGTACCCCCCAGTACCAGTGGCCTCGTTCCCCATCGGGGCAGGGACTCAGAGGGCGGCATGCCAGACACAAAGAGCCAGCACTCGGTTGAGAAAACAGCATTTATTCAAGAATCTGTCCCACAGCCACTCCAGGAAGCCAGACGGGGTCCTTACTCCGGGGCTCTGCTGGCCTGCCTCTGCCCTTTAGCACTGCAGGACACAGTGTGGACGCAGGGGGAGTGCCTGGCTTGAGGACGAAGCACTTCTTTGCACAACCAGGTACCTGCATGGAAGTGGGGTCCCGCCTTGCCAGCAAGGGATGGAGTGCAGGGGGTTCGCGGTGCACCCCTGGGTTGGCGTGCTCGCTACCTTTTGTTTGATTGCAGCAGGCAGAGGGCCAGTCTTGAGTCTGCTGCTCTGACCCTCAGTTTCCTCCTCTACTGAGTTGAGGACAGTGACAGGTTTTGCAAGGATACTGCAGGTGAGGAGCCCAGCTCTAGGGTCTTTCCAGACGGGGCTGCTGGGAACAGCAGCAGACAGCACAGCGGAGGGGCACACAGAGCCCTCCTGACCTGAGAAAGTGTGGTGGAGGCCTGGGGGATGCCGGCTCAGCACAGGTTCTAAGCTGGGTGCAGGCCCTGGGGTGCTGGGCCCCACTCTGGGAGAGAGAGTGGGGAGCAGACTGCTGTCAGGCTCTCAGGCAGCTAAGGGTCCTGTCTCGGGGGCTTTTGCCCACTTGGGGTTCCCCAGGGAGCATGCTGGTGAGAAACACCATCAGCCTCTGTGGAGTGAGTCCTGCCTGGACCCAAACGCAGGTGGCTCTGCCCCCCACAGCCCTGTCTGCTGAGAGGTCCTGGGCCCTGCAGGCTGCACCAGCTGAGGCATGGGTTGCCAACTGCCAGTGTCACCCAGAGGATTGCTACAGAGCAGAGCCAGCTGAGCTGTGGGGCTAAAGTGACATCCCAACTGGCCTCTGGGTTCCCCCAACATCCCCTGCATAGGATCTAGCCCAGGAACATCCCTTCCCCTGGCCTGCAGATTCTCCGGGTGTTGGCGAAGCTGCCCTCCAATATCATGGGTCCCCAGTCTGTGCCCTTTCTCTACAGGGGGTGGGACAGTCAAGGCCCTCCCCAGGCCAGTGCGTACCCCTCATCTCATGCCACCACCCACCACCAGCCCTAACCCTGCTAATAACAATGCCACCGGTGAACTATGGCCACAGGGACCAACCAAACACCAGACTCTGCCAGTGAGTCCACTGACCCTACAGGACAGGGTAGAACTGCCCCTTTGAGTTTCCCAGACTGTAACTTTAGGGGAGTAGAAGGCCTCCCTTTCTCCCAAGGAACGGCTGGTGGTTTCACACTGTGGGCTTTGCAGTTAGCAGCCTAATGTGTAACCATGACACCACCAGGGCTCCCATGGCCCCAGGGGCAGCATCTAATCCTGGAACCCTGCATGTGCCCCTCCATGGGGAAAGCGACTGGGCAGAGGTGGCCCAGAGGCAGTCGGAGCTGGAGAGGAAGGAGGTGCCAGGCTGGTGGCTTTGAAGAGGGGACGGAAGCCTGGGGTCCTGTGGCCCGTTGGATGTGGGCCCTGCAGCCTGGGAGAGCCATCCGCATTTGCTAACCGGGGTTGCACAGCAGTAGGATGCACAGGTGGTCACCCCTGTGCAGGTGTGGACAGAGAGGATCTCTGCCTCAAGCCTTCCCCATCTCCTCCCTGCTGCGATGACTCAACCCATAGACCAGTGCAGGGAGGCTGAGCCTGGGGGTGGCCTGTCCACAGGCCTGGTGAAGATGTGGCCCAGCCTACCTGGACAGAGGCTTCAAGTGGGTCCAGTCAGCCAGAGCCCCAGTGGCTGGTGCCTGAGTGGCCAGTGCTCCCAGGCCTCCCCTGTCTGGCTTCATGAGCTGGCTGTGGTGAGCGTCCCAGCATGGACCAAACCGGAAGGCACAGCTCACTCTGCAGTGACTCCACCAACAGGCAGGGCGGGCGCAGGGTTTCCAGAAAGCTGGAGGGTGGGAGCACACCTAGGTGGCGGGAGCTGCTGGGGCCCATGGCCCTTCGATCCTGAACCCCGTCCTCGGCGTTTGCATTTTCCATGAAGGATGGCAGAGGGCTGAGATGGAAAGCCTGCACCAGGAGGGGCCGTGGGACGGAGGTGTCCAGGCTACATATGTCAGGGAGCACTTGCAGCACTGGGACCCCACGATTTTAGGACAAAGCTGTCTCAGCCCCCACCTTGAGGGTCCACATTGCTCAGCTGCTGCCCAGTCACCTGACTGTGGAGTGAACTGGGGCTAGGTCACGCACCATTCCTGTGGCGGATCCGTAGGGTGCAGGCTGTCATGGGCTGAAGTCGAGCACCCGGCTGGTCTTCCCAGTCTGTGTAAGGCTGGACGCACTGATGAAAGCGCTCAGCATCATAGCCACCCAGGAGCGTCCACAGGTCGAGTCCTTGGCACACAGGCTACCTCTCTGGCTCGGCCCCTCGGCTGAGCTGTCTCAACGGTGGGGATACCTTATCCCACTTCTGTGATACAAGTGTCATGGGGCACCTTCCTCAGAGCCCCACCCCAGCCTGGGCACCTGGAGCTCATCTGTGCCTGGGGAAGGCGGGCTTGAAAACAGACAAGCCCCCCTCCACCAACCCCATGGGCCACGGGCACCTGTGGGTGTCCACCTTGGGCATCAGGCTGTCAGTAAGAGGGCTGGTGGGCCCATCTCCACATGTCCATCAATAAATAAATCTGTCCCTTGTGCACATCTGACATCAAGCAGGTCCACATCCCGTACCTGTTTGCCAGTGACCTTGACATCCTACTGTGTGCCCAAACTGGTCTACAGCTCATATCTGAGCACCAGTCACTTGACACCCTACTATGTGCACCAGTGACTGCCAAGTGGGTCCACACCCCGTACATGAGCGCTTGTGACTCGACGTCCTACTGTGTGTGTGTCTGTGACACCGAGCGGGTCCACATCCTATAACTGAGCACTTATGACTCAATGCCCTACTGTGTGCATGAGTGAATACGAAGTGGGTCCACACCCGTATCTGTGCGTTTTTGACTCGGTACCCTGCTATGTATGTCCATGACACTGAGTGGGTCTGCACCCCGTATCTAAGCTCCTGTGATTCAGCATGTCACTGTGCATCTGTGACACTGATTGGGTCTGTGCACCATAGCTTGACACCCTACTGCGCACATCAGTACAAGTGGGCCTGCACCTGTGACTTAAGGCCCTCCTGTGTATCTGTGCCATGGAACAGGTTTATACTCCATTCTGATCGACTGTGACCTCGAAGCCTTACTGGGTGCCTCTCTACCTCATGAGGACATGTCTGCACATAAGCATTTCCTGCTGGGGCTTGCTCCCTCTCCTTACTCAAGCCCAGGGGCGCGTTAGCCTGTATGGGTGACTTCTGGCCAGCACAATGTCCTCCATGACATGCCAGTGCCCAGGACCTCCTTTGCTGGGCTCTACCACCAGGTCGGGCATCACTGGGCCCTGGGGGTCCTGGAAGGTGAGAGGTCAGCAGAGGTCTCTGGAAAGCTGCAGGACACTGCCTTGGCCCTCACCTCCACCTGTGCTCCCTAGGCAGGCTCTGGACCCCACACCTGGGTGCCCTGTGGCCTGAGTGCCTCCTAAGGTAGCCTTGCTGCCTGTTGGGTCTGATGTGCCCTACATAGACCACTGCACTGCCAGTGACCCCCAGAACCCACCATGGGTCTCACCACATCCAGGGAGGCCTCTGCCTCCCTCTGTATACTGGTCTGCCCCATGCCTGGGACCCCTGCCTGTGCTCCCCGACCTCTGACCCCCTCCCCTCCCTGGCCCATCTCTGGCCCCTATTCTGCCTGACCCCCCACAACCTCTGAGCCCCCTCCCTGCCCCCACAACCTATGACCCCTTCCCCTTGCTGTCCTCCCTAGAACCTCGGAGCACCCCTCACAGTCCCCCACTTGACCGCTGAGCACACCCTTACCAGTTTCCCTGTAGCTTCTGCACCCCACCCCGTTCTTCCACGCCCCTGCACCCCTCAAGCCCCCACAGCCTGTGTCCGCGGTCAAGGCGCGAGCCCCGCCCCACGTGGAAGGCTCCTCTCTAGCCCTCAGCGTCCCCTCCATTTCCCCTTCCAATGTGATATTCCAGAGGCCAGACCGAGGGCCCACCTCCCCCGGGGTCCAGGGGGCCTGGTCCGCGCCTGGCGGCAGACGGAGGTACCGGCGGCACCAAGTGCCTAGG